AGAGCTCCAATGGTTTGGGAAAATATTTTCTCCTAAAGGACCTGTACTGTGTAAATAGTCAGTTTTTAAGAAAATATTTTCCCAAACCATTGGAGCTCTTTACAGTTTGGGATCCCCATGATCCTAATTCTCTATTTAAATCATTAGCAGAATGCAGCTCTTATTCAGAAGCGAAATTTCAACCATTATTTCCTTGTTTGTAACTGGATAAATTTTTAGTTCTTGGTTTTATTCTTTTTTATAATTTTTAGCCAACTCCCTGGTATGATAATCTTGCCAGGAAGTTTATAGTGATCTCTCAAGATGACGACTTCCGTTCATCTTGTAAAGATGAATGTGTAATGAACTCTCAATAGCAGTTCATATAGTTATATCCAGCTGTTGCCAGTCAAAATGCAAGCTGGCTGTTTTCAGGAACAGCGTAGAGCAATAAACTACGTGTTTGGAGTACTGTCTGTTCTGTTGGTCTGTTGTCTTGATTTTTACAAGCACTATTTGGAACCCAGCATCTTGCTTTAATTTGGCTTTGAAATTACCATGCAGAAATGTGGTCACATTCTTCAACTTGTCCTGCTCTGTCGATCACACAGTTGCTTGTCTTGCACGGCGTGATGCATGCTACTGCCAGTTCCAGGAATGCTTGGCCTTAACATGTCTTTGGAGCAGAATTTAAGACAAATAGATCAATGTCTGTGATACTGCATTACGAAGCTTTCCTCTGAAAACATTTACAAGAGAACTTTACTAGCCTGCATCCTCTGGATCAATGAAAATTATGCACTCTTCCAAGTACCCCACCTCCACGCTGTTACTCTACCTCAATGTTTTCTTCTTATTTTATTTATGCTTTAAATTTCTATTATTATCCTGGCTTGGCTGTCCAGATTTTGCATTTAGCTTGAATTTATTATTATTATTATTATTATTATCTTATAGTCCAGAGTTTTTATTTATTTTTAACACCTATTATGCCATAAATTCATAGGGAGTAGGTTCCAGAAGCTCAGGCTCCTTTCCACTAGTTCTGACAAAGTGAGCTTCTCTGGGTGTAGTAGGCTGATGCTTTGGTTAAACCCCAAGCTTGGCTTCCTTCTTTTTCTGATCATTTTCCTTCACATGTTTTAGAAGCTATCACTGCTCTTAGAATGCTTAATATGCTCAATATACACATTAATTCACTTGGCAAGAATCTTGCCTTTAACTTGTTAACAACAATGCCAACAGCATGCTGGGTAACATCATAGTATTTGTAGAACATTTCTTTTGAAAAGTACCCATTCCCTTGATGTCTACAATATCACCTTTCTTGGAGATTCTGAAGTGTGTTGCCAAAGGGAATTGACTCCCTCTTTTCTAAAAGGCCTAGAGAGTATATGTTAAGTGCCTTTCCTCTTCCTCCTTGTGTTGTCTTTTTGGTGAGTTACTGGAAGATGATGGTTCTGGCCAAAAGGTTCATTTGACACTAATTTTAAGAAAGAATTAACCTGACAAGCTGGAAATCCTTGTGGGCAAGGACCAGCTATTTTAGCTTTTAATGTAATTTTATATCTGGTTATGCAAATGGATGTGCTTTTTCTCTGGAATCTTTGAAGCCTTTAAACGATTCCTTGTGTTGTTCTAAAATTAGGTCAAAGCATAGTAAGTAGTAACTTGATCTCCATCCTTCTTACCGCTAAAGGGCAGGCATTTTATTCTAAGGTAGCCTGTTACCTCTTTGAACTTCCAGAACTTCTGACCACTGCTCTTCTGGCTGGAGCATTGTCAAAACCTCCGCCTTTGGTGTCCTCTTGATGGATTGCTTTCCTGGTGTTCTGAGCATTTCTGGTCAGTTCTCACCTCTCTTCTTGGTAACCCGGGCTCTCTGTGATCAATGCCCATTGTCTCCGGCTACCCCTTACCTCTGCATTCCCCATTTACTGATCTCTCAGGGCCTTACTCTCTGTGTGCTGGAGATTTTTTTCCTCTCCAGTGACTACCATTTTAAAATTCTGCCTTTACTAGGAAATGAACACAGGTAGAGCCAAGTGAGAGTCTTCAGATTGAAATGGACTCTCTACTCTCATGATCGCTGGCTATTCTTCCCACCCTTTCTTATCCCACATGTTCTCTGGTCACTGTGCACTGTCTTAAGTATTGAGTTTATACTAATTAACAGAATAGCCCTTATTATGGTGGAACTTACATTCTGGTAAGTAAGTACAAAATATACATAATGAACTGCATAGCACTAACAAGGAAATTAACAGGGTACTGTGAGGGAGGAGTTGAGAAATGGAGGTTCAGGGAAGGCCTCGTGGAGGTGACATTTAAGCTAGATCCCCAACATTCCAAGCAGATGTAGCAGCAGCAAGTGCAAAGGGTCTTGGGTAAGAAAAGCACTGGACAAGCAGGAAAGCAAGCCAAGAGCAAAGCAGGTGAGGAGGAAAAACACACAGAATGCAGGGCCTTGTCAGGCATGATGGGCAGACTGTAATCCTAAGTACAGCATGGAACCGTGAGGGCTTTAAGGAGACAATGACATTCACACTTGTGAAAGATTATTCTGTTGTATAAAGAATTGATCGAATGGAAGGAAAACAGACCTGGGGAGATCCACAGGGAAGCTCTCCTAGCCATCCAGGTGAGAAGGTACTGGCTTATACTAGAGTGGTTCAGAAAGAAAAGAACGTGGATCAGAGGTATGTTTTTGGAGAAAGAGCTGACAGGACGTGGTGGTAGATTCGATACAGGAGAAGAAACCAGAGATAGCCAGTGGTTTCTGACTCATTGAATGTTTTATTGATGGTGCCATTAACAGAGATGGTAAGGAGTCAGAAAGGATCAGACTGAGAGTAGGGGAGGGAAACTCAGAGTTTTGACTGAGTGACATTGGGGTGCTTAGAAGACTTAAGAGCAGAGATGTGAAATAGGAAGTGTGTGATCAAGCCTGGGGCTCAGAGGTGGCATCTGCCATGTATGGATAAAGAAGGTAGGCTGTATCTTCACCTGTCTGCATTCGAATCCCAGCTCCGCCATCTCCTGTGACAAGCAAATTACTATTTTTTTTATAGTTGCCAGAGGGGATGTGTGCGCACCAGAGAGATAGAGAGAAAAAGAGAGAGGGAGAAAATATCTTCCCTTGTGGGCATGTCCATACTATAGTTTCTTCCCCATTTCTCCTGCTGGGAGTATGGGCATGCATGCACACATGCTTGGCATATTTTTTTAAGCCATTGAGGGTGGGATTTGAACTATGGTCGGTTATGTGGGATCTGGCTCTCTTAACCACTAGGCTATGGGGCCAATTCAAATTTTTAACTTCTTTGTGCCCCAATTTCCTCATCTGAAAATGGGGGAAATAACAGTGTCTAAAGGGTTGTTAGGAGGCTTAAAACAACTATATGAACAGTGCCCTGCACATGATAGCTGATTCTTACATAATATGAAATCTTAAAAAATCAATATTTTAAGAATGGTATTTGGAATTCATAGACTTCAAGATGGTATTTCAAGCTACAAATATGGATGAGATTACCAAGGAAGGGTTTAGAGAAAGTGTAATGAACCTTGAGGTTTTACATTTGGCTAAATTGGAGAGGCAGGCAGAGAACTAGGAGAAATCCAGAAGAGCATGGGCCAGCCAAGAGCTCTAGTAGCTGAGAGGAGGAATATTTGGAAAAGGGACATTTGCAGCTGAGAGGAAGCCAGAAATGTTCATTGTCATCAAAAACATGAAGGTTGTTAGTGGTCATCACTAGTGGGCTCCAGGGTGACTAGAAGGCCAGGAAGCATGAACTATGTGTGGGTAATTCTTTTTTTTTATTATTATTTATTTAATTATATTTATTATTATCATTTTTCAATTTGATCAGAGAGAGAGGGAGAGTGAGAAAGCAAGCCACCAGGTCCAGGACTTGAACTATGGTTGACCATGTGGGAGTCCAGTGCCTCAACCTCCATGCTACCTGCCAGCCCACAGGTAATTCTTAAGAGAAAGTTGGTATTTTGTGAAGAGAGACAGAGAATTAGTGCAGAAAATTAGCATAGGTAGGATCAAGATGGACAACCTTAGAGCACACTTGTTAGATGAGGGTGATGAGCCAGTGGTGATAGGGACATGATGTAAGAGAATAGACTGTGGAAGCAGGAAAGAGTTTGCCTGTGTCTTGATTATTGGAGATGTGTCGTCTTCCTCATAAGAGACTCAAGACCCCTGAAGCGTAACAATTGGGCCTTATTAATGTTTATGCTTTTCCTAAAAAGTCATATCATAACTTGTGGGACCAGCAATTAGCGTAATGGCTATGTCGCTGAACTCCCACATAGTCGACCACAGTTCGCGTCCCAGACTCAATGGCTTAACACTAATGCCGGGCATGAGTGCGTGTGTGCCCAAGATCCCAAGAGGAGAATGGAGGAGAAGGGATTGTGGTGTGGCCATCTCCCCTGGGGGGTGATTTCTTGCTTTCTGTCTCTCTCTGTCTGTCTGGCGAGCGCAAGCAACCTATAACAACAACAAAAAAAAAAAGTCATATCACAGCTTGTAAGAAAAGGATGAATTGAATAGGATTTGTGCAGGATGTTTACTATATGTATATTTTTATTTTTGTCTTACAGTCTAAATGTCCCGCTGAAAGTATTGACAGCTCTGGAAAAACAGCTTTACATTATGCAGGTAACTTTTTGATCATCTTTTGTTGTAAGAAACAGTAAATTTTTTATTTCTGTATTCAATTAACCTTACCATACTATTCCTGGTGCTGTTTTCTGTTATCATTCCTGGACATTCCCATTTCACTCAGTTTATTAAACATGTAGAGTTTTTAACAAGGGTACTCCTAAAATATATTAGTCACTTGCTATATGACCAAGTCCGAATGATCGTGGGTAATGTATTTTTAACTAATTTAAGGTTCTTTTCTTTTTTTTTTAAATAAACAAAAACAAATATAAGTGCTTATAGATTTCAGGTAATGTACAATATAGATTTTTTTGGCTAGGGATCTTTATAAACTGATTATTTCAATTTTTTTAGAGTTATTTTATTTTATTTTGCCATAGGGTGTGTGTGCTTACCAGAGAGAGAAAGATAGAGACATTGACAGAGAAAGTGAGAAATCACCCCCAGGGGGATGGCCATACCACACTCCCTTCTCCTCTATTCTCTTCTTGGGATCTTGGGCATACACGCACATGTGCCTGGCATGAATTTCAAGCCACAGGGCCTGGGACTTGAACTACAGTTAATCATGTGAGAGTCCAGCAATGTAACCACTATGCCATCTGCTGGCCCCAAACATCTATTAATTTTATTTATAATAGCTTCAAGTGATAAACATTGACATTCAACTCTGAGGTGGTCAGATTTACAAATTTCTTTTATTACTGATTGTATAAAAGCTAAGTCCTACACAAAGCTGAACCAAGTGTTTGCTGAAAACAACTGATGGTCACTGGATTTAGATCAGGGTAACGCTGATACCAAGCAATTTAAAATCCCTCTTACAACCTTCCTGAGACCATTTCTCCTCAGTGCACCTCGAGTGAATATATGCAGCCCGGGTAGGACATGAAGTTTTCCTTCTACGAGTGTTTGGTGCTCTTGGTTGTGAGAATAGCCTTGTGACTGGCTGTGGTGTTTGTGTTTTTCTTCCCTCAGCGGCGCAGGGCTGCCTTCCGGCTGTGCAGATACTCTGCGAGCACAAGAGCCCCTTAAACCTCAAGGATTTGGTGAGTATCAGGTGGTCACTAAAGGTGGAGATGGATACTGGTTTCCCAAGCACTGTGAAATACTGTGGAGAATTGCTGAGACTTTAGAGAACTACATATTTGGGGAAATTTTCGTTATTTTCTGAAATTTCTGTTAATTTTTACATCCTCTTTTGCAACATGGATTTATATATTATCCCTCTCTGGTTCCTAAACCCTTAATAAAACATTTTGCAGTATGTATTTCCGATATATGTAAATTTTTTTCTGAGGATATATATGTGTTCTACCATCAACCTAATAATAGTAAAGCTTAATGTCTTGGCCTGAAATGGTTGTTGTACTCCCACACTTGGATTCCTAGGGATAAACCAAAATCATTCATTAGGCTGTTTTCCTGAACCAGTTGCTAAGTTGTAGCCAATCACACTAGCCACACTTCTGTCAATCACAGAAAGCCCACCTGTTGGGCTGTTTGTATAGCCTATCATCCACCTGTAACCAATCCAATTGTTTCTCTATCTCATTCTTTCACTTTCATTTTTGTATGTCATTTTCCCTTTACTGGAACATAAAAACCACAAGGCTGGCCGAGTTGACCAGAAGTCTGGGGACAACTGCCTGATTTAAATTGTGTTAAGATTTGCTCAATTAATACTCTATTAAAAAATTGTTTTAGTCTAAACAAAAATTCTAATAACATTTTCTTTTATGCATAATACATACTATGTATTAGCTTGGACACCTTCTGATTAGAATCTTTTAAGTTTGAAAATAACTTCTATCTTAACTTTGCTGGGCTCTTAAAAATAAATTTATATGCCTGTCGCATACATTACAGGGTTAAATTTCATCTGGTAGCCTGAAAATTGATGTACATAGACTTACACCTAATGGAGATGCTGTAAAGTGACTATCTAGAATCTGTAAATAAATTTATAGTTCTGAGTTGTCATGATAAATTTAACAAATAATTCTTTCTCTCCATCTCTTTATCTAGTCATGTGTGATAGATTCTTAATTTGTGTTATGTATTGGTATTTTGATACTAAGATTATTGAAAGGGTACACTTTTTGGCACAAGAAGACTGGAAAGGTAGGATATATGTGGGGTGCTGGGAAGAAACTGTTTAGAGGGTGACAGGACCTTCTGATGTTAAGTGGAGACAAGTTCTTCGTTTCTCCAGAACTACCCCTCAAAACACATGGTTTACGTATTTTGTTTTCTACTTCCTCTTACATTCTTACCCAAACTGAGAGATAGTTGAAGAACCAAGTTAGAACTCCCTGGGAAAGCCAACAGTCAGTGAAGTTCCACAGGAAAAGCTGGACTCAGTCATGTGATGGAGGTCCCAGACAGGCACAGGATATCACCAGGAATCAAGTAAGACCAGCAGTGCAAGCCAGGAGGAAAATGTGGAAAGAGCCAGGGCCTTTGTGATTCTGTCATTTGGTGTCTGAGTTAAAATCTACATCTAAGTTTGTTTCCTAGGATGGGAATATACCGCTGCTTCTTGCAGTACAGAATGGCCACAGTGAGGTCTGTCACTTTCTCTTGGATCATGGAGCAGATGTCAATTCCAGGGACAAAAATGGAAGGTACCACAGTGTTAGGCAGAAATCATATAGCATCAGTGATATCTGTATAATGAGAATTTTCCAGAATATCACATCTGTTTGAATGATTTGTTAAATAAAGTGGTTTAACTTCTTTTCTTTTTAATTTTCTTTTTTTAATAATCAGGAAACTGTTTTGACTTAAAAGCAGTTTTTCACAGAACTTTGTGGGTCTTATTACTGAGTCTGTAGTGAGATTATTAAATGTGAAAGCCATCTCTTGTGATTTTAATGCAAAATGAAATAGAAGTAAACATACTCATTATGTTTTAAAAATAATCTTAACAATGTATATAGCTTCTTTAAATGCTTGAGGTGAAAGAAGGACATGATTTGTGCCAATCATATTAAATTCCATCATATTATGTCAAATAGCATAGAAGATTATGTCTATTTCGTTTGACTAAATATGGTTTAATGTTTTGATTTAATATGAAGTTAAAAAATACAAACACCTCATTTCATTTTAATAGCATTCCACTTTGAATTCCCCAGAAGATTAAGTGCAATAAAGGTTTAACTGCACTTAATCCTCTTTTCCCTGTTTTCAAGATAAGTGATTCCCCCACCAAGAGTTTTCCCATTTTATTAGTACTAATTTTGTGTCTTCTTTTTTCTTTAGAACTGCTCTCATGCTGGCTTGCGAGATTGGCAGCTCTAACATTGTGGAAGCCTTAATTAAAAAGGGTGCAGACCTAAACCTTGTAGATTCTCTTGGACACAATGCCTTACATTATTCCAAACTCTCAGAAAATGCAGGAATTCAAAGCCTTGTATTATCAAAAATCTCTCAGGATGCTGGTATGTGAAAGAAAATAGCCAGTGTTGTTTTAAATTTATCCACTTCATTTTCCCTAAAGGATAAAGGAATTTATGCAATACGATATATTTTATTATTCTTTTAAACATATTCTTGAAGAAAAATGAAGTGTTAAATATTGTGTATGGTGTGTGTGTGTTTCTATGTGTGTATTCCCCCACCCATGATGGATATGAGTTACCATAGTTCTCATAGTTTTTCTTTTTTTTTTTTTTTACTTTTTCCTCTGTAGATTTAAAGACTCCAACAAAACCAAAGCAGGTATTTATCTTTGGGGGAGGAGATTTATTTTTCATCTTTGTTTGTGAGAATTTGAAACTGTTCAGATTAAACCATGTTGACCCACTAGAAGAATACTAAGGCTATATTCCAAATACTTGAGGACCAATATATCTTTGGAATAAATGATTCATTGGTATAAGGTGGCAAATGTTTTGTCAATGATCTACCTATTTCAAAGGCATGTAACTTTAAACTTACTATTTATTCATCTTTTTCTGAAATGTACTAATACTTCCTATTGGTGTGATATGTTTGATGTGGTTTAAACTCTCAGAATGAATAACAGTATTTTAAAGACTTATAATATTACATAGTCCACAGAACTACAGCCATGACAATGTTAGATATTTAATGAAAATAGGGGATTTAGCTTCTCCTTTTATTTTAATTAGAGTTGAACAAAAATGTGATATAACATTCCACAAAGCAGAAATTGACTAATTTACCCTGTTGTTTTTAGGGTTTTTCCTAAGAACATGTTATCACTGTCTATAAAGAGATGTATGTTTGGCTGTTACATTTATCTATTTATATATTATGTCTTTTGAAGGAATCACAAATGGCAAATACTCAGTAAAAATTTATTACATGATAAATGTATTAGTGATCTATCAATAATCTTCAGAGATGAGGTTCCTTCTTTCTCTCATATTTACATTGTTTAACAACAAAAACAAAAGAAACGGAAGTAATGGAGAATTGTGGGGGATACTACTGCTTTGCATTAAGATGTAAAGCTTATTCTGAGTGTATTCTGGATTCTAAATTGTGGCAGACAACTTCTTATCCTCCACTTTTCCAGTTTTCCACACCAACTTAATCTGGTTTTGTTTTATTTTGTCTTTTCTTGCTATTAAAGCATGAGCTGCTAGAAGAAAACTTGGAGCATGCATATTACTTATTTTTGTGTTGGTAGCAGATTTCGGGTCTTGATGAAGTAAGAAATGCATGCCCTGTTGCGGTTTTTCTCATATGTTTGATGAAACTACTTGCTGAGACTTTACTAACCTAACTAACACACCTCCTTTCTTTGGACTGTGATAACTTTCAGCATGACCAAGTCTCTAAAATAAGCTCAGAAAGAAGTGGAACTCCAAAAAAACGCAAAGCTCCACCACCTCCTATCAGTCCTACCCAGGTAAAAATAAAAGAAACCAGCAATCAACAAACACATGACCACAAAGCCTTGATTCTGTCATTTTGTGTGTAGGTCAAAAAGGAATTTTTCAGAATTGACTCTATAAATGTACATTTAAAGACATTTTTAGCTGTTTTAAATTATAGATTGTAGTAAGAAGGATTTTGATGATCATGGAAAAATGTTGATTTTTACCTGTTTAAAACTATAGAACTGAACAATATCTTTAGGGAAAAAAGCCTCAAGGAAATTTCTCAAAATCTTATGACAGAAACTTTTTCCTTAAGATGATAAACTCAAGTCTACTTTTAATTCTTCATTGTAACAGCTCTGGTAAGGTGTGGGAGAAGGGATAGCTGGTGAGGCAATTAGTTGAAAACAATTTTAGTAGTTAGAATTTTTTTTTTTTTTCGGAGAGATTTTTGCTATAAGGCACATGTAAAAGAGACAAGGAACGAGAGGCAAAAAGCAAACCCCCCCCCCCCAGGGTGGGGAGGATAGCCATGCTGTAATCCCTTCTCCTCTGTTCTCTTCCTGGCATCTTGGGCATGCACACACACATGCCTGGCGTGAGTTTGAAGCTACCAGGTCTGAGACTCGAACTGTGGTCAGCCATATGGGAGTCCAGTGGCATAATTGATAAACCATCTGCTGGTCCCAGTAGCTAGAATAGTTCTAAAATATATTTTCTTTTCTAATTATATTTAAGGTTAGCTCATTTAAAAATAGTTTTAATTTCTGAGTTTATAGTGGAGAGAGGAGGAAGTTCAGAACTATAAAATGACAACTAGAAATAGGGTGAGACTTGTTATTTATAATATCATAAGCCATAAAGAGAATTATCCATATTCAAGTAGAAGAGAAATATTTCACTTGATAGGTAATTTAAAATATACGTTAACATATTTATTAATAATCTCAACCTGTAAAAGAAGTTTCATAGGTTTAAAAATTGATTCCAGTTAATACAGAAAACTGCAGACTTTCTAAAAGTGTTTCAAGTAGCTGAATTACATTGAAAATATATTATCCTTAAATTAATTGAAGCTAAAGTCACTTACTGTATCATTGCAGAGGCTAAATGGGTCGATTCTTTAGTTCTGGAGGAGAAAAAGACTCTGAAGACATATTCTTTATTGGTGGTTTTTGTTTTGTGTTTTTTTCAGTTGAGTGATGTATCTTCTCCAAGATCGATAACTTCAACTCCACTTTCAGGAAAGGAATCGGTATTTTTTGCTGAACCACCTTTCAAGGTATTTCCTTTCTGTGTTTGGTGTGGTTACCATATTTTCAGATGCATAACAGACTTGCTTTAAGTTATGCAATATCGGTCATACTTCTGAATCACTGGTTCACTACCTTGCCACTGTGAAGGATCTTTTGATTATTTGTCCTGGTCTAGACCTCATAAAACAAGAATAAGGTGAATAAATTACATTTACTAATCAATTTTCTTTTCTTTAAAAAGAGAGACAAGGTTCACTTATATATGATATCTAAAAGAGTTGAATTTGTCAAAGCAGAGAGAATGGTGCTTCAGGGAGCTGAAGGTTGGGGTAGTGGTGGTTGGGGAGATGTGGGTTAAAGAGTACGGTGTTTCAGTAGGAATGCACAGGATGGTGACTAGAGCTCATAACAATGTATTGTACTTTTGAAAATCACTAAGAGTAGATTTTAAGTTATCCCATTACAAAAATTAAGCACATGAGGCAATGCACATATTAATTAGCTGGATTTAGTCATTGCACATTATATATGTATTTCAAAATATCATAATGTAAAAAATAACAAACAAAATTTTATATATTTATAATATTTAAATTGTAATTAAACAATGAAATATTATTTTCTATTTAATTATAGTTGATTAATTTTTAAAATTAAGGTATAAAACTGACCAGATTCTAGTTGATAGTAGATCGACTTATAAATTCCCTCATTTATTCTTGAATACAGACTAGGAAATGGCAAAAGTCATATTTTAGAAAACTCTCTGCAGGCACAGCTGTGACGGCACAGGTGGTAGAGTGCTGCTGTGTAGCAGATAAAGATGCTGGAGCATATGGGAAAGGCCTGGGTTCAGTTCCCAGGAGTTGACCTGAATGTGTCATATGTGATCATGGGCATGCCTATGATCCTGGCTAGCCCTTCAGCTTGTTTAGTGGGGTGAAGGGTCATGGTATGAAAAGAATTTGCCAGGGATCCCTGTTCTTCCTTCCCTCTCTTTCCTATGAAAAAAAAGAAAAAAAATAGGATGGAGGACAGGAAGGAAGGGATGGAGGGAGGAGGAAAAGGAAAGAAAAGGAAGGAAGAAGAAATGGAAAGAAAATCTCTATATACAATGTGTGGTATCTTGGATTGGATACTGGGGCAGAGGACATCTGTGGAAAAATTGTGCAGTCTGAATGAAGTCTGTAACTTAGTTAACATTTGTTTGCCAACATTAATATCTTGAGTTTAGCAAATGTGTCATGGTAACATAGTTTATTAACATTAGGGGAGACTGGGGACCAGCAATTAGCGTAATGGCTATGTCGCTGGACTCCTATGTACTCGACCACGGTTTGAGTCCTGGACCCGGTGGCTTAGAACTCATGCCGGGTGCGTGTTCGTGCATGCCCAAGATCCCGAGAGGAGAATGGAGGAGAAGGGATTGCGGCGTGGCCATCTCCACTTGGGGGTGATTTCTCGCTTTCTATCTCTCTGTCTCTGTCTGTCTGGTGAGCGCGCTTTCTATCTCTCTGTCTCTGTCTGTCTGGGTGAGCGCTGAGTCCCTATAGTAAAAAAAAAAAAAAAAAAGGGAAAAAAAATATTAGGGAAGATTGGATGAAGGGTACTATCTTGCCACTATTCTGAGAATATAAAATTGTTGCATATTAAAGTATACTAAATTATTTTTAAGTTTGTTTATTTGCTTATTTATTTATTTCTTCCATGAGAGAGATACCGAGACTCCTAACAGGATCTTGTTATTACAATCCACACCCTAACCTTCAGCCAGCCCCAGATGGTGGGCTAATGAGTGCCCAGTGTACTCAGGGAGATCTCCCAAGTTGAACCAAAATACTTCCCATGTGTAATAGCCTTACAGAGCATCATATTTTTACTGCTGTGCCATTTTCCAGAGGTTTTGTTTTATTTTTTAAAATTTATTTTTATTTTTATTTTATTCATCATTGTTATCTTTTTAATTTGAATAGAGACAGACAGAGGGAGGGAAAGTGAGAAAGCAAGCTGAGAATGTGAACAGTGGTCATCCATGTGGGAGCCCAGCACCTTAACTACCATGCCACCTACCAGCAGCCCCCGAGCTTTTTAAAAAGGGAGAAAGATGAGAACATACTTGATGGGACCAGCAGATAGAGTAATGGTTACATTGCTGGATACCCACATAGCCGACTGCAGCTCAAGTCTCAGACCCAATGGCTTAAAAAACTTATGACAGGCACTTGTGTGTGCATGCCCAAAATCCTGAGTGGAGAACGAAGGAGAAGGGATTGTAGAGTGGCCATCCCCCAGGGGGGATGATTGCTTGTTTTTTGTCTCTCTTTGTCTCTCCGGCAAGCACACAAGCCCTATCGGAAAAATGTCTCTTAAAAAAAAAAAAAAAACTTGATAACCACTCTTCTTACCAAATTAGGTAATGCCACTCAAAAAGACAGACATTTTGGGACCAGCAGTTAGCGTAATGGCTATGTCGCTGGACTCCCATGTAGTCAACCACAATTCGCGTCTCAGACCCGGTGGCTTAAACTCATGCTGGGCGCGTGTGCGTGCATGCCCAAGATCCCAAGAGGAGAATGGAGGAGAAGGGATTGCGGCGTGGCCATCTCCCCTGGGGGGTGATTTCTCGCTTTCTGTCTCTCTGTGTATCTCTGTCTGGCTGGCGAGCGCAGGCACCCTATAGCAAAAACCTCTCGAAAAAAAAAAAAAAAAAAAAAAAATGCTATTCTCTAGTATCTTAATGAGTAGTAGTTGTATATTTTAAATGAAACTTTTTTCCTGACTATAAAAATAATATGTATTTATTTTAGAAATTTTTGAAAATCATTAGTTCTTATTCTACCTGGTTCTGTAAGTTTATGGTTGGAAAGTATTGTAAGGCAATGGGAAGATATTTTCATTCAATATCTGCTTAACAATCACTAGAGAATTATACTTCAGACGAAATAAAATTTATAATTGTTAAAAGAAAATTGCATAATTGTACATTTACTTTTCCCTAGCTAAAATTACTAAAGATAAATTTTCTTTTAACTTGAATGCATATTGATCTAAAAAACCCAAGTCTATCAACCTATCATTTCCTTTACTTTTAATAGACGTTATTAATAAACTCTTAGGCATGACTACCTCTACAAGGCAGAGAAGTTATCCTATTATGGTTAGTACACTAATATCTTCTTATTTTAAAAAAAAGTATTATTTTTTTTTTCTAATTCAACCAAAGAGAGAGAGAGAGAGAATGGGAAAGTGAGAAAGCAAGCCACCAGGTCTGAGACTCACCACAGTCAGCCATGAGGGAGTCCAGCACCTTAACCACCATACCACCTGCCGGCCCATTGTACATTAATATCTTCTAGTGTGACCGTGCTCAAAGGAAACAATGCATTCTAAAGAATATTATCACATATTATGATTTTTCAGAAGTATAATATAAAAGATTGTCATTTCTAAACAAGCAAACCAAAAAAAGAAGATAAAGAGTGACACTGACACCTATTTAGGTGGCTAACATTTTAAAAGACTAAAAATACCAAGTGCTGGTGAGAATGTTGAAGAACTAGAATTCTCATGTTCTCTTGGGGAAATATAAAATGGCCTAAGTAGTTTGGAAAATGGTTTGGAAGTTTCTATAGAGATTAGACATACATAATGCATGATCCAGCCATCCACTACCCAAAAGAAATAAAAACATGTGTACACAAAATCTTATACACACACGTTTCTAACAGCTTTATTCATAATATTCCCAAACTGAAAACAAAATCGAAATGTCCGTCAATAATTGAACACATAATGAAATATGTCCACATATAATGGACTGTTACTAATCATCAAAAGAGATGAACTGCAATGTGGACAACATCATAGATGAATCTGAAAGTCATTCTCAATAAAAGAAGCCAACCACAAAAAAATTCATACCACATGACATTCCATCTATAAAAATTATAGAAAATGCTGGGGCCAGCAGTTGGCATAATGGCTATGTCACTGGACTCCCATGTAGTCGACTGTGGTTCGAGTCCTGGACCAGGTGGCTTAAACTCACACCAAGCACATGTACATTCCCAAGAAGAGAATGGAGGAGAAGGAATTGCGGTGTGGCCATCCCTCCTGGGGGGGAGGGGTATTTCTTGCTTTCTGTCTCCCTGTCTCTCTCTGTCTTTCTGGCAAGTGCACGTGCCCTATAGCAAAACAAAAACACAAACAAACAAAACACCTCTCCAAAAATAATAATTTAGAAAATACAAAAAGAAGTGTCATGGTTCCCTGGGAATAGAGTTGGGCAGTGACTGACTGTAATAAGGAATCGCTCAGCAGTGATGGAAGTCTATATTTCAATTATAGGTGGTGGCTCCACTGGTATATATCTATCAGAATCTCCTGAAGTTATAAACGTTAAATGGATACAGTTTATTGTACCTTATACAGTTGAAAAAATAAAAATAAGAACTTCTCTTAAAAGTGAAAGGAGAGCTTCTTGTAAAGATAAGCACTTGCCAAAACTAAGCACTCTATTTTAAGCATTTGGACTTTTACAGAAGTTCTTTTGCTGAAAAATTCTTTTTCTTATCGTTGCCTGTGGCTCATCTAGATGAAACAGTAATTTCTGGCAAGTCACTGTAATGTTTCATATGAGAATTTGGCTTTGAAGTTCCAAGAATTTAGCAGTATATCAAGAGATAACTATTCAAGGATATTAAAGGAAATTTTTAGGGTATTATTTATCAGCCCAAGATTATATGGAATTTTATTCCTTTATAAAATTACCTTTACCTTCCCCAAGATGTTGTATTACCATTTTTCTTAGAAAGATTAATAATAGGGGCTGACATGTGGCGTGGTGCTTGTGGGCGCTGGACTCCCAGATGGCTGACTATGGTTCAAGTCCCAGACCTGGCAGCTTGCTTTCTCACTTCCTCTCTCTCTTTCTCTCTGTCCCTCTCTGCCCAAATTAAAATAAGTTACTAAATTTTTTTTAAAAAACAGAACGATTAATAACAACATATTAATAGCAGATAATTTATAAAATGATAAAGTTAATAAAACTACTTTTAATATATATTAATTAATATATAACCAAGATAGATACAACTTCTATTTGAAAGTAATATTTGCCATCTCAGGTTTTAGGACAAAGCCTGGTACAATAGCTATTACATTAAACTATAACCCTGAATATATTGTCTTATACCCACTAAATGAAATTTATAGAAAATACTTTGGAACTGGGACCAACAGTAATGGCTATGTTGCTGGACTCCCACGTAGTCGACCACGGTTCGCATCCTGGACCCGGTAGCTTAAAACTCAAGCCAGGCGCGTGTGCGTGCATGCCCAAGATCCCGAGAGGAGAATGGAGGAGGAATCGAGGCATGGCCATCCTCCCTTGAGGGTGATTTCTCGCTTTCTGTCTGTCTCTGTCTTGTCTGGCGAGCACACGCGCCCTATAGCAAAAACCTCTTAAAAAAAGAAGAAAGAAAAGAAAATACTTTGTAACTATACCTCCTAGAACTTCTAATGATATAAAATCATGTTCTGTTAGAAATGATACCTTATTACTAAGGTATTTATCACTTTTATTCACTCGTATTTTAAAATATCTTCTGTCTGTGAGATTTTCTAGTTGTTTTTCTAGTAGGCTAATGTTGACTGTTCTTTGTAAATGCAAGGAAGAAATTTACTTGATTCTTTTGTGCAATGTAAGATTTAGGAATATTTAAGTTGTTTTTGTGTTTCAGCAGGCTGAGATCAGTTCTATACGAGAAAACAAAGACAGACTAAGTGATAGTACTACAGGTAAGAGAAAGGAGCATCTATTTTTGCTCCTTTTAGCAAACTTTATTCCACATCCATTTGAAGAGAGCATAGGCCAAGGCAAGTCCTGTGTGTCTGGAGGTCAGGGCAACCAGTACACCATCACTTAGTTGCCAATAAGACATAGGCTGTCTTTACTGCAGGGGACCTTAACTTGGATTTTAGAGTTTGAGTTGAATGTGAAAAAATACATCTCAGTTTTCACTGGTCCCTAACTATATACATATTAGCATTTCCTTCCATTATAAATATAGGCAACAACCCTACTAGTATTAGCAGGCTAGTAACTGCTACTTCTCTTGGTGAGACTTCATCAATAATTTCCTATCACTTTATTGTTTTTATAGATAACTTAAAATACCATTTACAATAACTCTACTAAAAACTATAGCCACTGCTAGACCTGCTGCTAGATCTTACTATTGATTTGTTATGAGATAAGCTATTACTTTACTGTAGCCTATAGCTTTAAGCTCTCAGGAATTCGCACCTCTCTGGCTGAGCAGCTAGTTAGTAGATGGAGAGGAAATCAACTACACCTCTGTGACTGCACAATCTAACTTTTCACTTTGGTTTCTAAGTGACACATGCAAAGACAGAGTGTTCATGAAATCATATTTAGTCATATATTATTTACCATGATAGAGTTTAATTTTTATTGTATCTAAGAGTCCATTCTAAGGGTTTACCCTGTAAGAATTAAGTACCTTACTTTCAGAATCAATTTGCAATGTAGAGATGATCTCAATGGTCCCTTTTTGCTCCACCATTCAGTTTTGTGGCCTAGTGTGCATTTTATATGTGCTAGGAGCTTTTAATTTACAGAATTTAGAGATATTTAACATTCTAATTCCTGGCAGAGATCAATGTCAATATAACTGCACATGTGTTGCAGTGGATATGTTCAAAACCATTCATTGTCTTTTAGAGCAATTGCTCTTGCTTTGGATTTCAGTCATCTTCCCATTCCTCTGGTTTATTCCAAGCTCACCAGACTCTATTTCAAGGGGACTCAGAAAGCTGTGGTTGAAGCACCAGACATCAGAACATTGCCTAATTTTCAGAAGCAAACTTTTCTATGAAGAAACAATTTTGCATCCTTGCAAATTTAAGATTAAAGTTTTCATTTCTGTGTCAAATATCTGTGAGAATATAAAAACCCTAACAGTTAAAAATATTAGATCAGTTGGATCCAGATTGTGGATAAACTGAATAAATTGGCAAACTTTTACCCGTTTTCAATAATTAAAGAGTTTGTACCCATAAGTCATCCAGCTCTGTCATCAAGCCCATAGTTTTGTCTGGCTCATCATTTTCTCATTGGAAGACTTTCTGAATGAAGGAAGTAGTACATTACATTACATTCTGGAAGAAATTCCTTGTTTCTTCTCAGTCAGCACTCTTAAGTAGCACAATTTTAGATATCACTTCAGCAGAATAATCAGGATGTCAAGAAGTTGTGGTTTACCAATAATGATTACTATGATATTTAGAGTAATTAATGCTTTGAGGAGGAGGCAGAGTTTGACATGGGTCTCAGCAGACATCTAAGAGTTACCCTTGCAAGATGCTGCAAGGATAATCCTGTGGATAAAGGCTGAAAGAAGCAACCATATATTGAGAATATAGGAGGTATGATGGGAACCATGAGCCTGAGAAAAATGAAAATCTAAGAAGGTGTGTGTCATAAATGGGAAAGGTAGATTGGAGTCAGATCACAGAAGCCCTGATTCAGATCAAGTACCTAGAGATCATTCTTAGAAGTAAAACAATTAAACCACTTGAAGCAAAGGAATGACCCAATTGAAGCATGTTTTAGAAAGATTAGTTTGGCATTGTTGTGCAGGCAATAATTTTACTGGGAAGAGGATAGAAGAAGAGGTTTATTAGGAAGCTGCTGGCAGAATTCCCAAGTAAAAAGTGAAGTCTTGACTAGAGAATGGTAGTGAAGATAAGAAATAAACCATATTGCAGGGACATTTCTAAAAGAACTGAGACATAGAAGGCATGGGAAGGAATTGAAAACAAGATAAATGGAAAATGTGTGACCAAATCCATTGTGTTTCAGAATTAGCTTATATACATATGTATGCAGTATTGTGCCAGGAATGC